AGAATGCTATCGCTTTGGAGCGAGTCTCAGTGACAAACTCCTTCCCAAGACATCAGCATATCACGAGATATGGCTAGATAAGAAATTGGTCGCCGGAAATGCGGTCCGAGATGTTGAACCCATGTACGGTCCTTACTACCTCCCTAGAAAGGTGATCCTTCTATAATGTGCTCTCTTATCACAAATCTAATGCAAAATTAGTTCAAAATCGCCGTTGCTATCCCACCGAACAATGATGTGGACATCTTTGCCAATGACGTTGGATTTATTGCCATTGCCGACAATAATGGCCGTTTGATAGGCTTCAATGTAACAGCAGGTGGCGGTATGGGAGTGACTCACTCCAACAAGAAGACCTATCCACGAACTGGATCTGTGCTTGGCTTCTGCCGTACAGACCAGGGTTACAAGGTCGCCGAGAGTATCTTACTCACTCAACGAGATAATGGAAACCGTACCGAGTAAGCGTTCCCTTAATGAAATCTAGATTTGGTGCTTACACACTTCTGTTCAGTCGTAAAGTCCGTCTGGATTGAATCTAACAGGGCAGATATTGACTTGCTTTACAGAATGCTCGGTTAAAATACACTATTGACAGGATGGGCTTGGAGGCCTTCAAGGCAGAGGTTGAGAAGCGACAAGGATTCAAGTTTGAGCCGGCCAAATCATTCAAATTCGATAGCAACATTGACGAATTTGGATGGCAGACAGACACCCAAGGAAAACACCATTTCACATGTTTCATTGAGAACGGACGTGTACAGGACGAACCAGGCAAGGACTTCAAGACAGGACTGCGAGAAATCGCAAAGGTGCACAAGGGTCGATTCCGTCTCACCGCCAATCAACACTTAATCATTTCGGAAGTCCCCGAGTCCGAACTGGATACGATAAAGAAGTTACTCAAGAAGTATGGGTTAGATAACACCCAGTTTTCGGGCCTACGTCTGTCAAGTTCCGCCTGTGTCGCATTCCCTACGTGCGGTTTGGCGATGGCCGAATCTGAAAGGGTAGGTTTTGAATCGCTAGGTTATACACAATGCTGACATTCCATGTAGTATCTACCTGTGTTGATCGACAAGGTTGAAGCGATATGCGAAGAGAATGGTCTCCGAAATGACTCGATCGTTATGAGAATGACTGGATGTCCCAATGGGTGTGCTCGTCCATACCTTGCAGGTATGTATATGACCATAGGAGGAGAAGCATTGACCGACACTCGATAACAGAAGTTGCATTTGTCGGGAAAGCACCTGGTGCCTATGTCATGCTTCTAGGAGGAGGGTATTATGGACAGCGATTGAACAAGATTTATCGAGGTATGTCATCTCGTTCGTATACCCTGATAACTTATCCATTCGATACTATTTAGAAAATGTCACGGAGCCGCAAATCCTCGCCATCCTAAGGCCCATGATCAAACGATATGCTTTAGAGAGGCACGAAGGTGAACATTTCGGTGACTTTGTCATAAGAGCTGGTTATATATCGGCAACGACCTCTGGAAAGGAATGGTACGAGGGCATGGGAGGCGAAGGAGAGCATCGTGAATCTGCCTTAGCGTAATAATTGGGTTTAGTGTTTTAAATAGTTTCATCGCAAAATGCGCCAGCTAGAATACAGTGGTAACAACCAGGGATTAGGTGAATGCGACGGCGATAAACAACTCGCTCGACCAGTAAAGTAATAAAACTATCACGAATAATGTAGGGATAGACAGTCGACGGGCGGGCTCCATTAGATGGAGCCCTTGATGCCGACTTTGGCGTATTTCTGATTATGAACCTGGATAAGGGTCTGGTGAACAGCCGAGCATGCAATGTGCTTCTCATGGTCGGGAGCGTTAGGGTTAGTGAAAACATTCGCCGAATGTTTGGATAAGAATTCGAGTAGTCTTGGAGTTTCATCTGGTTCGTAGCCTAGCTCATTTTGCAGCAGTTTCATGGGTATCGACCGGTATCTGAATGCGCTTTAGAATAGCAGCTTTCGATGAAAAGGAAATAACTGACGCTTTGGTCATGCTAATCATAGCACTACATCTCTCTCTGTCAACATAGTGGTCCATTATGTACCCTCCCATGTTCGGTGCAATAAGATAGAGCGCAAAGAATTGGTGGTAATTACCAGTGGCCATCGCCATGTGTGTTTTGACAGCGTGTTGTACTGCTGGCAATGCTTTATCCTGCGGGGTTAGTTCGCTTACTAGAAAATTTAATTCTAGAAACACAAATGTCAGTCATAGTGTGGACTTGGCGAGGTGTACCGACCTGCTTTGTTTCTTCCATGAAGCATGTAGAGTATCCGATATGCCAAGAACTCTTCCCTCTTCCCATTCAGTCCAAGTTCATATAGTTGCTTAAGTGTGGCTTGACACGCATTAAACTCGACGAGGTCGGACTACTGTACGATGAGGCGTTGAAGGGAAATCTAGAAGGAAATGACTTACATTCTCGAGGGCGATTCGGGCGTGAATTTCGTATACTAGCCATATCTCGTGATATGCTGATGTCTTGGGAAGGAGTTTGTCACTGAGACTCGCTCCAAAGCGATAGCATTCTTCGTGTAAATGGGAGAGAGACGGAAGAGATGCGACCAGAACATTCCTGAAGGTCTATTAGTCGTAGATTACAACACGTACGCGTATAATCACCTGTTCACGTCACCGCATGCAGCAATCGTATCCAATAGCGCCTTGTTGATGGCTTGTATTGCTGGCTTCAAGTGTTTTTTAATCACGCCATGAAATTGGAATGTCTGCCTCGTGGTTAATTTAAAGGTTCCGTTTCCATGTTCATCGGCAATACGGTCCATATCAAGCCATTGTGCCGGTTTACAGACGCCACCAGCCATGCGAACTCGGATCATAAAAGAGTAAGCTGGTTCTAGGCCTTGAGCCTTACGTTCGTCCCGAATGTCTCGATCGTCTTGTTCGTAGATACCATGGAATTTGGTCAATTGTCCGTCTGAGGCCGCAAGAGCTCCAGTGGTGGTGTCTTTCAGGCCTTCGGCGATGGTACCTCGTAAGAAGTTACTTGCGATCTTGATGTGCTCATTCGTTACAGGCTCAGGTTCGGCTTCAGTGACTTCGACACTGTCAACACCTAGAGCTTTCCATAATAAAGGCTCCCAGGCTTTATACCCGGTCATTGGTCCGTCAGCGTCTTGATCATCGCCTAGCCCAACCTCGGCCACACGTTCTCCTCCTAGCTGCTCGAGACGGCGATCAAGATCCTTTCCAGGCTTGTTGTAGTAGTGTGCATCCTCTGGACGTGGCCAATAGTGGCTGTCTCCCATAGCGAATACAGAGTATTTGAGTGTCGAAAATAGCTTGTCTCCTCGGTTAGCCGCTGCGTTCAATGCCTTGAATGTATCGCGACCATTCTGTGGAGCGAGTTGTTTATCGCCGTCGCATTCACCTAATCCCTGGTTGTTACCACTGTATTCTAGCTGGCGCATTTTGCGA